CGGTTATCCACGTCCGGCTCTAATCTATTTTTGACTATAATAGATTGCCGCAGTCGACTGCTACGAATGTTACGATTAATATTTTAAATTTAAGGCAGTGGAAAACGGCACGTTTACCGATTACAGTGAGGCGGGATGTGCAAGAGGATCTGCCTCCACGATTCTCTGCCATGCAGGTCCAGTCTCCTTCGTCCTCCACCGTGACGGGTGCCACGTCGACGCAATAGAAGTTCCCCTCGTGGACGAACGAGAATCTCGAGCCCGCGTGCACCAGATCCGCATTTCTATGCCAAGTAACCTGGAATTCGACAATGAGCATTCAAGATGAGGGAATACCTGTCAAAGCACATATGTGTATGACAAATTTATGTTACGTACTCATTCTTGTCTGCATAGTTCAAATTTTATAACATCCTTAAGATATTATTAGTTGCTTCGATTTATCATTTGAGCAATTTTATATTTTTTCAATATAAAAACATCAATTTAATTTATTCAGGATTAATTGCAATTGTATGATTATATCTACTGATATCTAAATACTTCTTAAAGTATTTGTATTCGCATAAAAATCGTGAAAGTATATGTAATTTGATGTTACGCATTTACTTCTATGTGTGTACTTTAAATCTCGCAATCGTATATCGAAATATATAATCGAAATATTTGTATTCTTATAAAAATTGTCTTTTATTATTTTGTCATTATAACGTATTAAATGATGCTCTTCATTTATTAATAAAATCTAGCAAATATTTTACTTCGTAGTTTTCAAATTTGAACTCAGTCCTGAAACATTCCATCGCGGCGAGTTCCTCTGCGTTACGCAATCGAGTGAGAGAGCACCGGCGCGCATTCGAAAGTTTACGAGTCGAGGGCAGAGATCGTATAATTTTTCACGCGGCTCGCTTCCTCTCTTTTTCGCCCGTATTTCGATCCCCACTACTATTTTCCTCATGTGCCTTCGCTGACCATGCCTAGCATACCCCATCAAGTACCAGTTCCCACATTGGTCGCGTCGTCCCTACTTTCCGGCCGAGGGAAACATTATACGATCCCTGGACTCGAGGGGCGGATTTAGCCAATCGGCGAGCATAGCTTCCAGCCGTAGTGGACACGACCGCGTAATAATAGTCGTAATACGACGCACAAGAGGCGTAACGAGTATCGTTTTCTGGCTTTCCGTATCCCCGAATCTAATCCCCGGGTCATGGACCTCGCTGACTCCCATTTAGCCCGCGTTTCTCCCGGCGACACCGGCTGCCGTCGCGCCATAAGGAGGACCGACGAGTTCGTGGCAATAAGTCACCGAGTGATTCCGGCTCAACCCTTCCGGGTTAATCACAGACGCTGGCACGGATTCCGCGTAGGCCTACCAATTTTGGAACACGTGGAGCTCGGTGAAGGCATTTCTGTGATTGGTGCGGCTATTATGGTGCCGTCGCGGCTTACCTTTGCGACGTTATCTTATGTATTTCCGTTTTCTCTTTTTTACTTCTTATCAACTTTTCATTTTATCAGCTTATTATTCTATTATTTCTCACTCCAGTCATTTGGTAGTCAGATTTGATGTTTTGTCTTCTGTTGTCCAGGTCCCCTCTCATTCTTCACCTGTCATTTTATGATGACAGCAAAGATTGTCGCGCAGGATTCTTGAAACCATTAGGTCTTTCTTCTTCTCAAAGATATCAAGAACGACAATATGTCCATACTATAGACGTGGCATCATATAATGATTTTTTTACTTATTTTTTTGTTTATTTTATAACAATATTATACTTGGATTGCAGAAAGATTTGTTGTGCGAAGGGAAAGTTATAAAATGTAAACATCGAAAATACAAAGATAGGCTTCTGATTAAAACTTCTGTTCGATATAAATACCTTCGGTGTGGTCGAACTTCGGATCTCCACGAGGAATCTAGTCCTGGTGCCAACTTTAACCGCAAGATGCGTCAATCTTCGTAGGAAGACCGGTGGCTCTCCTTCTTCCGAAATCACCTCGTCCACGTTCAGATGTATCTTCTTCGAGGATCCCTTGTCGAATCCCTGGCCAACCCTCGTTGCGACCAAAGCATAGTGTCCCGTATCTTCTTTCTGTGATTGTTTCAAAGTCAGCTGGACAACGTTGCCTCTCATTTGTATCCGGTACCGGTCGGACGGCATGGGTACATCTCCACGTGTTCTATAACAATAAAATATTATACATACATGTGCATAAGTACGTATATTATGTATTAGTGTTCCTTTATAAAAATTATAACTCATTCATTTATATTTATTCTTATCATTTATCAATTAAAAACACTTTGAAACATTATTGTTATGTTTTGCATCTGCAGACCCTAGCTTATTATCACTTGTTTATTTATTAATGCACTACTTTCATGATGGCATTGATTAAGAATTGTTAGAAATAATTGCAGATAGAAATAAATTAGTTTTAATGACAGTAAGAATGGACTTTCAAGTACGACATGATCTCAATCGGTGAAAATTTTAAAATAGTAGTATTGTGGGGCTGACTATTGACTCGTACTACTTGTACGTCCTTTTATTACTTATTCATGTCACTTTCCATTATTACAAAAAATTCTTATCTCTCCTCAGCAAATCATCACAGTACCACGCGGATAACGGGAGTGAGTTACGATTTCTTAGAAATACGTGGGTGATCTATAAATATCTTTGGACCGAATTGCGTACAGTAAAATAACAGACTAAAGGAAACGAACTTCCACCTTATCGTGTTTGTCTCTACAGTCATGCCAAAATCCACGTTTCATAGACATGATTTTCTCACAAATTTCAATAAATCAATAAATATTAATTATGTATTAATGTTGTTCTAGCTTCGAGCTAATAAAATACCTAATAATTCTGCAAAATCTGTACTATCTAATATTTCCATTTTTCGTTTATAGCATCGTCTACGATCAATAAACATTAATTATCAAATAACGTTCTAGCTTCGAGCTAATAAAACGCCTAATGATTCTGTATTATTTTAAAATCTGTATTATCTACGATTTCCATTTTCCGTTTATAGCATCGTCAACAATGAATTAAAAACGCAGACGAGCCGAGTGCCAGCGAGAAAGCGAATAGGAACACTTTCTAACTAAACGGGGTCGATTTTGCAATGTTCAAATGTCAGTTTCTCCCCTGTCGGAGCGATGGCCAGGGTCCAATCGGATCAATGCTCGCGGTGTCGCATATTCGCTGCGTACTACCGCCTAATATTCGCAAGGTATCCATTCAACTGGCCGTGAAGGAAAGAAATGTTCACTTGCGCAACGACGCACCCTTCGCATCGCGCCGGGGCGCGTGCACAGGCGTCTCGTCGCCGTCGCCAGCGAGATGACGTTTCCTATGTGTACGCGCACACATGTTCACGGCAGTGATGCAATATCTATTTTGTCTAGCCGAGAAACGAATTCTGCGTTCTGCAATCATCGACTGATCGTCAGGATTAGAAGCACATAAAAATAATAAATTTTCGATGAATAAATTAGATAGTATTTTTAATTATCGGTATGAAGTATTAATTTTTTCCTGAATGATTACATGATTTATAAATCGTCGCTTGCAAGTTTGAAATAGGAAAGGGAAAGCATGGCCTGCGTGATGTGCGTCATGGATTTTCCAAGCGGTATTCCTAGATCGCTAGTAGATATTTCAATGATTCAATCGCTTTGAAAAATTGAATCGATACCCGGGTTTCACGGATCCACCGTTGCGGTGCTCGCATACTCGCGTAAAAAGGCGACGAAAATAGGGCAGTAGAGCAATGCCAAGAGTTTCGGCCGCTCTAGATCATTTGTTTGCCCGAAATACGTTGGAAGCGTGCAACCGATTCTTATTTAGATGCCGCTAGAAGACAGAAATCCACTATCTTCATGTTTAATTGTCTCAAACTCGTTCATGAATTTTTTTATTAACAATTATCGTTTAATAATTCACATGACCGTGCGTACCTGCATTTTTATTACCTGCTTGTTAATTCAATTGTGATTTACGAAGTGCAGACTCAGGTTAGTTTAACTCATAGAAAATTCAAATGTCTCAACCAGCAAAATACGTGTAGTATCATAAGTTGCATGAATGTAAATTATTTTCATAAGAGTAAAGACGGTAATTCGTTTCGGTGATTCAGTGGCAATCTTGATACTCTGTTAGCAAATAATCATTCGACAATGAACGATCGAAGTTGAGGCTTAAAATAAATTCTCGCTCTTAAAATACTCTTCATTTATCAGACTGGCTATTCGCGTTGCACAATTCACGATTGTACTTTTAATTTCAATTCTCCTATTGCAATTAGTAGACTGTGGATTTTTATGCAAAATAAAATATTCAGAGGAAAAAATTGAAGAATGACATATAGGCATGATCTGAATCTATGAATCAAATGCCACAGGAAACGATTTTGTCTCGAATATTTTCACGTGTCTTTCCAAAATTTGACACATTTGTGTCTCTTATAAATGCACAAAAATTTGCATACTAATAATTACATAAGTACTTCAATAATTTATTCATCTAATACATTGAGTGAAGTTTAATTAATATATTCCATTGCTAATAAGTATTGTGAAGGATAATTCATAATATGAATTATGAAGAATTAACAATAATATGTTATTGTATAAATATGAGAGTTAGAAATATTTTATTAATTATCAAATATGATGCAGTTACAATTATGAATATTATATGACGTTTCACTGATAATTAACGAGGGTGAAATCGTACCGGTGTCCGAAACGGTCCCTAAACGATCCGTTGACGGCAGTTTTACTGCCATTGCCATCGGCGCATTTGCAGCAGTCACTTCCCATGTCTAACAGGCGTCCTCGGTAATAAAACAAAATCAACAATCACCACCGATCACTCGCGCGAGTTCCTTGAACCAAGCGTCCCGGAAGAACAGTTCCATACCGCTACGAGGGACGAAGAGGCGGATGGAATCCCAGGCGACGACGCATCGGAGTCCCTTCCGAGCACGCTGGTTCCCGCACTCGATATTTATCGAGATCGACGTTCAGTCGATCGACGCGCGCGTCGCGTTATTACCCGTCGACGTCACGGAGTCTACGTCGGTGACAGAGGCAGGGGGTGCAAAAATAAACCCGGCAAGCGTCCTTTCGAGGTGCACCGCGACCCTGACAAGCCTGCCCGATGACTTCACTGCAAACGTCGGTACCGCGATGACGCTGGTCGTCATTCTAACGACCGTTTTCGACACGACACTCCAGACTGAACTTGCGATACTGTCGTCACTTGCCAAATTAATCTTCACTTCTCTAATTTTCATTCAACATCGAAACACACTCGCGTCATTCAGGAATCAAGGGATTGTATACTTGGGACTAGTATGAAAAAGAGGGTTGACAGGGGTGTAGAGGGGGAGTGGCGTCCGATCGTCGAGCGATCCGTCGATTCTTATCGTTCTTTCAAACCTCTCTAATATATACTTATACAGTGAAAACGGGAATTTGAAGGGGGAGAGGTGATTTTTGGCCGCTCGTCGATCGTCGCGACGCTCCCTCGGAAGACTGATAGCGTGATGCCAGCGCCAGGTCGTCCGCGGCCGATTTTCCACCTCCACAGCCAACGCCAACCTTCTGCTTAGCTATAGTTCTGAAGGGAAACTATAAGCAACGTGTTAGATCGTTCGCGGGGTCCTACAGAGGCGTTTAAGAAGCAGCGCCGCTTTCGTCGTTTCGCGAAAATCGCGAGGTCGGATTTAGACGGCGCAGAGGAGCGTCAAAGTGCGTCGGAATTTTCGTAACCCGCGGGTGGAACGCTTCCGTCGTCGCGGTGACGTACCGTCTGAATGGCCACTAGGACCGTCAAGCCAGAACCGCGTTAATATATGTATAACGAGTCACGTGAAATCACATGCTATCGCTTTGCATATGGTGGTCTAACGTCACGATCTGACTGCGGATAGTTAGGCATTTATGAGAGCCCACACATGTAGGCTAAGCAAACTTGAAGAATATTGAGAAATATGTGAAAAACTCGTTGCAATCTAGTAAGGTGTAAATCTTGAAAAATCTACAAATTGATGTTAAGAAGTTCATTCAATTCATGTTTGGGAGCAAAGATCTCTTAGATGCCTCGCCTCGTTAAAGAAATATTGACAAAATGGTAAAAACCTATTTTCACTCTTCAATTCAGTGATTATTCATAGTAAAATTGATAAAAAATATAAAAAACGAGTGCATATTGCAATTAATCTGAAATGATTACCATAAGTGGCTGATTATGTATAAAAATCCGCAGTCTAATCGAAGACTTTAGAGAACGGAAATTCGTTTCAAAGACATTTTGTCCTTTCTTGATGATGCTTCTTACATAGTTGTGTTACAGGATGAGTCAGAGTCGTGTGAAAAAGACAAACAATTACTAGCATCGATCCGTTACCCTTCTTGTCTTATTTAAGCGGCGAGGCTAGATGAGGTCATGTCTTGCGTTCCCGAAATAAGCGTTCAAATGCCTATGCACCGAATCTTTCACCTTCCTGAGCAACCCAACACACCGTCGGTTATGAACAAGGAGTAGCCTCAAGCTGGATGAAATTAATCAATTTCATTCCATTGTCAAATTTAACAAAGAAATAGGGTAATCATTTTTTATCTGTATTCAAGCTTAAAATAAAATCCTTATCACAAAAATCACTATTATAACGATATTAAGATTTCACAACGTTTCTAGACTATTTCATATTTTGCAAATCTAAAAATAGAGAATTATTACTTGAATAATTCTAATTCAATTCTTCATCTCCTTGAAGAACCCAGCAAACCATCGATCATGAATAAGGAGAAATTCCAAAATCGATGAAATTAGACAATTCCATTCTTTTATCAAATTTAAACAGTAAATAAGATAATTATTGCGTAGATGATCGTATTCAAGCCTAATAAAAAGTAAAATAAGCCTAATTCTCCTTATCAGAAAAGACCACTATTACAATGATATAAAGATTTCACAACGTCTTTAGATTATTTCAAATTCTGTAAATCTAAAAATAGGGAACTGTTACTTAAATAATTCTGGTTTAACAATTCGTCAACGCAGTCGAACGTGTTTTTCTGAATGGTGTGAAGAGAGTAGTACGAGCCCTAGCATTGGAAAATTTATGCGAGTATTAAACGTGGGTATGTGCAAAAAGTCGCGTAACGAAATTACACGAGACGACCGGTGTAATTTGGTCTGTTCGCGAAAATTAAGTGCGCGACAGCTCGAAATAAACCGCATTTGATCCTTGGCACGTTTCAAGGTTTCCCACGCCACGAAATTATAGTCGATAGTCGAGAATGAACGATTACGCGTAAACCGTGGTCCCAACCTATGCTACCGATCATTGTGGTACGTAACAACACGGCTTTTGGGTCGTTAACTCTTCAGCTGCTAGCAATACTGGTTCCTCTTTCGTGTTACCACAGTTATTCAATATTACATAATTACTACATCATAACAAAATGGAGTGCTATTAAAAATAGATTGGTGTAGGGCAGGAACTGTGGATTTATGCGATATGTCTTTTTACATTATTGATTATTGAGCTTCAGTGCTATTACAGATATTCAATATTACATAATTGTCATATAACAAAATGGAGTGCTATTTATAAAATAAATTGGTGTAGGACAGGAATTATGGGATATGCCTTAGTTTGTATTAATTTAACGCATGCACCATGAAAAATAATTTTAATAATATTGTCACGATTCTATACTATGAATATGAGTATAATAAAATTGATTTGGGCTCACAGTTCGAATCGTAGCTCGTCGAAAATGTCGGACCAACGTAATTTCGGTTTGACGACGATGTCTTCGCCGACTCGTCCCTGAACCGGAAGGACCTGGTCCGGCTCTAGCCATCTCGGTGGACCCTTGGCCGCTTTCGTTGTCTGATCTGCGAGCAATTACATAGTGGAATGAATACTTAGAGTATGACATACAGAAACAAAAAAATTGGATCTAAACAAATGCAAATTGTTAATCATAACAATTATAATAATAACAATTGCGAAATTTTTGTCTTATATTATTTACTATTTACATTAATAAGAACAACTGTAAAATGTTTATCAAGATTTAGTGATACAAAACAAAGACACGTGATTGATAGAATATGCTAAGAAAGCAAGATTGCGAGATCCCATCAAATAGTTTAGAATGTCCTAATTATGAATAAAAGCCTTGATGCTCTTTTCTATTTGATTTTATTTTGATGAATTTTCCTTAATTTTCATATTGTTTTTGGAGAAAATATCTAGGGAAAAGTCAGTTTGAAGAATTAATAACTTGCTTATCACTATATCGATAATATGTGATATTATTATAAATCTGATATTGGTTGATAAATCTATTATTATATTATTGTCTACGTGTAAATTATGCCTTGACTTCATTCTATCGTAGATTTTACGTAGATTTATAATAATTTCGGTAATCGGATAAATGATGCTTGCTCATCTGTTTTAATGTGTAACATTATTAGAAGACACAATCTGATAACATTTGATAAGACAATTATTATCTTATTGTCTGCATACAATTTATGCTTTGACTTTTTCCTATCGTGGATTTTAGTTCGATTTTGATGAATTTTGGTAATCGGATAAACCTCGAGATTTTCAGAACGCGTGCGTATCCCCGGCAATATGGTAAATAAATACGTTAAAAAATAAACATGGCTGCAACTACTTCAGACACTTGGCTCTGAAACTCTGACGTCCGCCGAATTTTTTTTCCAACCATTCGCCTTTTCTTTTCTTCGTCGCCGCGATCGAAATTGATTTTACTCTTATTTTTAACGCGGATCTCGTAAACGCGGTGCTATTACCGGCTGCCGCCGGATTCTGTCTGCCGATCCAGACGAAATTTTCCGCAACATAACGATCGCGGAATCGCGCCTGTGATCATCGATTTGAGAACGCGTGGAGAAAAAACTCCACCTGGCAGCGGGTGGCAGGATTCAACGACCAGTAATCTAAACAAATTTCGTCACACGACGTCATCGGTCGAAGGAGAGTGCACGTTCGTCTTAATCGTCGAATCTGAGGAAACAGAAGTCGCGAGACTCTGGTATTTTTTGCTCGGCTCCAGCTTCCCTTCCCCTTTCTACTTTTAAACATCGAGTTAGACGCTCCTCGCCGGGGATAAAAGAATTTCGTACGGGCGACGATTTCTGTACGCGAAGAAGTCTTACCTGTTAAGGTCATCTCGTCAGATGATACGAAGACCGATTCTTCCTCGCATTGACATCACTCGCGAAGAGATCAAGCAGCCCCTCACTGTTCGAATCGATGGAACGCGACGGGGCGACCTGCACAGTACTTCCGGTAGCGGTCTGCGGCGCCCCGACCGACCACCCAATGCTTCCGTTTCCACCCTCCGGCGACCGCTTGCTCGCTCACTGGCTGACCCGTGGCACAGCACACCCTGCGCCACGAAATCTGACGGCAGGAGGCCCTGCTCCGGTCTAAAATCGTCTCGACACGCCACTCTCGGCTTCGTCGTTTTAACGAAACGCGCACATGCGCCGTGCGCCGACCACGTTTTTGAATACCGCTTCTTTCTCTCTCCTTTCACCCGAGACACGCCCCCTCTTTCTTTGGCCTCCTATCTATCCCTGATGTAACATCGATGATTCTTTTTACTTTCGATCAGACTCGTCGACCCGTTTTGCTCCCTGCGCTAGTTTTTCTTTATTTTCCTTATATTTAGTTCTTTTTGGAATATTTTAAGCAGGAATGTCTTCCCGTTGAGATATGGAATGAGATAAGAGAATTAAAAATAGTTTCAGGCGAAGCATCGATGATTCTTTTCAATTTCGAGTAGATTCGTCGATCCGTTTTGCTTGTTCTACTATTTTCTTCTTTAATTTTTCTGTTTCTCTTTCGTTTTGGAATATTTTCAGGAGGAATGCCTTCCGGTTTAAATATAGAATAAGATAAGACATTTAAAATTATTTTAAACGAACAATTGTAATTTTCCATTCCCGATTTATTTGGCACTTATGAATACCATCTGCATAACACAGCCCAATCAAAAGAAGCTTCTGTCATCTTTCTTCCATTATAATCACTATGAAATGAAAATTTTTCCAAATGAATGAATCAACGAGATGAAATGGGGATTATTTATGGGGTGAGTAAACGAGCGCATAGATCTTAAATTCAACAGTTATGTACATGTTTATTGCACGTAAGAATATTCATAATAAATAAGGAATAAATAGTAGTAATAATAACAATAATTTATAATAAGCTTTAGTCGTTAAAACGTACACTATCATCTTTGGTTTCTTCAATGGAGTACAAGAATTGGCTAACTCGCCGCTGATCGATGCATCGTTGCACTTGACAAATTGCCACGATGCATCCCGAAGTCTGCAACCCTAAAGGTCGAGAATCCGCTCGCCGCAATACCGCGGCATCGAAGGTCAGGAATCTCTTCTTCGAATAATCATCATCTGGACGCATTCTGATTTCTCCCGATCAATCGTGAAATGTCGAGAGTCAAGAATCTCTTCCGCGTGTGCGGCTTTCCTACAGGGCGTTTCCACGAATTTTTTTTTTAAGATTGTAGTAATTAAGAAACATACCATTTCATCTAATCAAAAATTTGTGGAATTCATTCAATTTTTATTAAAAACCCCAATAATAAAGTTAAAAATCGTGTTCTATGTTTTCGTTATTCCGACGAATGGCAAAGTTTTTACAATTTTCGTCATTATATAATGAAATAAGGCTTTTAATAGTCCCAAAGAAAATTCAAGTCGTTTGATCCAATATTAAAAAAGTTACTCCGTTTTAAAAGGCGTCCAATTAATTCCATGAGCTCTATAGTTTCAGATTTTCTTTCTTCGAATTAGACTGTGATCATTGTTTCCGTTTCGACCACCAGCCTTTCGAAAAGCGTCCTTTGATCTCGTATTGGATTCTCCTAAACAAAAGCAACGCGATAAAAGGAATCGCCAGGGTTTCCCTCTTAAACAAGTAAACGTATACAGCAGCTAGTAGGAGAGTCAAATCAGTCACGTATTCCACAGTCGATCTGACATTTTGCTTAGCTTCTATCGCCAATCGTTCCTCATTCACTCGACTCTCTCGCCAAGCGTTGTCTGAATATTCCCTTGCGGTAGCAGAGCCGCGTCGAGTACCCCTGTACTTCTTGCTTTCCAAAGCCTTGTTCAGACGTTCCATCTTCAATTCCACCGGCGTCTCTGGTCTCTTCCTATCTCTGGAGTTCGACCTGGAAGAAGTCCTCGAAGAAGGCCTCGAAGAAGGTTTCCTGGACCGACGAGGACCCTCGTCTACAGATCTTTCCCTGACGAATCGTTGCTCTTCCGATCCCGTCCTCGATGGAGGTCTTCTATCCTGAGAAGGAGCTCGTACTCTGGTCTTTGAAGAAGACCTGGAAGAAGCTCCACCCCTCTCCACAGAAACGTTTCTGGATCTCGGTGCTGGAGATTCATTCCTAGACGGTGGTCGTTTTTCTCTTACAGGTTTGGTATCTCGAGCAGGAGTCGTCCCTCTAGACCCAGTACTCCTTTTAACTTCTTTCACCTGCCTATCAATTTCGTCTTTTTTCTTTGGCCTCGCTTGTCGAGTCTGCTGACTTTCCCTAACTTCTTTTTTATCATTCAGTTCTGCGTTCTCCAGACGGTCTTTGATCTGATTCTTCATATCCTGGTCCTCAGAGAAGGAAGACCTCCTAGAACTAGTCACACTGTCTCCTACCTTCCTCTCCTCCGAGCTCCTATAATTAAAACGACTTGAGTGCTCTCTAACGATTTCAGTATAGTGATTGACAACTGCCATCCGTTGTTCAATGTTCTCCTCGTCGACCTCCTCTTCCGGTGTCACTGTTCGCATCTTTGCCTGCAATCTGCGATTCTTCGCTGCCTCTGCTGCTGACACCATGCTATCAGTATCGCTTTCTGACATTATAGGCGTCTTAATTGGCTCTGGTGTATCCGATACTTCCATTATTTGTTCCTCTTGTTTTTCTATCGGTTGCAGATTTGGAGACAGTGTCTTTCTAACAGGCTTCTCTGGAGGAATCGGTCTACCGAAGCTATTAACAGGAATCGGTTCCTCCTTAGGCTTCTTCAGAATCGATTTGGGAATGACGTTAGTCGGTGTTGGCGGCGTGACGTCAACGGTTGGTATATTATGTCCCGTTTCAACGTGGAGAACAGGTTTTCCTCGAGGATGGTACGTTTCCTCTTCGTCTACTACCTGTCTGGCGAGGATTCTGGTCTTCAAGAGCTTCAAGTCTTCGCTGTCAGCGCTACTCATCTCCTCGGACGATTCTTCTGAGGTTTCGATACTTTCTTCCTCTTCTTCTTCTACTTCTTCTTCTGCTTCCAACTTGACTTCGGGTTGAGGAATTATTTTCTCATTGAGCGGAGGCTCTCCATTGGTGGTAGCCTGCCAGGGTATCGATTCTTTTTCTTGTTTTTCAATAAGCAACGGCATGTTGGTCTCGTGCCACCTGCGTAGTGGTTCCTCGGGTTTGTTTAACCCCCATGGAACCGACGGCTCGATGTCGCCTGGTATATTAGAATCGGATTTAACTTCGACGTCTAACGATAGATTTGTTGTCAATAATTTCGAAGTCGGTTTAAGCGTGTCCGCTTGACTCTCGCTAGATCTTCTACGATTGATCTTCGATTGCCAAGTGATTAAGTTTTGAGCGGTGACCGAAGGGCTTGACAATCGTCGCCTGAAGAGCGATTTCTGTTCTTCTGGTTCGGGTTTGCTTCCGACAGTTGATGCCAGTTCTCCGGTTCGCCTTTCGAGCTGGACTTTCCTCTTCGCCACTTCTGAGGCTTCCTCAGCTGCTACTGCTCGATAGAAACGTTCCATCGCGCGCTCGTGGAGCAATTCTGTAGAGCTTACAGCTTCTCTGAGCGTTTCTATCACTTGATGTTCCGCGCTGAATAATTCTGGTAACGAGAGCGACATGGGCGGTGGAATGAGGTCTTCCAGATCCTCTGGCTCCTCTGTTGTGCTTTGTCTCGCACCTGTGAAATAATAATTAACAGCTTCGTTTTAAAGTCTATCCGAATGTTAATGAGGGCCACTGGATATGTAAATAAGTTCGAGAGCATGTAATTAATTTACGCTTTACCTAAACTCGTTTGCCTCTCATCGTCTCCTAGTTTCTTCGCCTGGTCGTCAGGATACAAAACCAGCATAAATTCCGAGCTTCCATGCATATCTGCACCGTAATCATCCCGCGGAGTACTAGGCGATCTAGGGTTCTCATCTAACGAGTGACTCTTTATTAATTGTGGTTGAGGTTCATCAACAACTGCCTGTTGCTTTTTCAGAGTCAAGCTCGTCGGTGGACGAAAACGTGAGGAACTAGATCCACTTTCCAATTCGTATTGTTCATGAATCTTTGGCATGGACAATGGAGACATACTACGTTCCCTGGACACGGAAACTGATCGCGATCGCGATTCCCTGAATGTTGAACGTTTGCTGGATTCGTCCGTTGGAGGTGTCACTGTCACCGTGGTGAGAGGTACTGGCATTGGAGTTTCTTTGATTTGAATCAGATTCTGTTTGAATACAATGTTACATGTTACAACAATGTTGCATTTTATGTTTCTTTTATTCTTATAATATTTATTGTATATCTGAATTAATAAGAAGCAATCAATTCCTTTCTGATTTCATTAAAATATAATTTAGAATAATTTTGTATTTAATGAAAATCATGGAATAAATGCATTTGTATATTTTAATAATCGAGGCTTATTAAGGATGTATAGGCTATACACTTAAACAATGCTAGCATGTTGAATTTGTTATTATAAATTCCTA